GAGCCATGTGAGGTTCAGGAGCCCGGGGCACAGCAATGGCAAAGGACCAAACAGACAGATTCCTGCCTCCTGGAGTTTTTTTCATCCTAGAGGAAAACGAAGCCAATCAAACAAGTAAACACCTGCCCGGGAGGGTGGCTGGGGCACGGAGAGAAATGAGGTGGTCAAGGAGGACAGGAGTGTCCTCCGGCTCGTTTGTAACTTTCAAAGGCTGGGCAGAAAGGCGGTCATTGCTGAGAAGACGGCACTGGAGCAAGGACCTGAAGGAAGGGAGGGTGAGCCTCCTGGGTGTCAGGGAGAGGAGGATTCCAGGAGGGGACCAGGGAGTGCAAAGGCCCTGGGGCAGGAGCCAGGCAGCAGGGGGAGGAGCTCCAGGGAGGTGGGGGTAGCTGGAGCAGAATGGGCAAGGGGAGGGAGGCAGATGAAGTCAGGGAGATGTGCCCATCTGGGTGCGTTTGACTGTGTCTTTCTAGTATGAGACGTGCTGCTCTTGTGGCCATGGTGAAGGCTTTGGCTTTTACGCTGAGTGAGGTGGGAGCCACGAAAGGTTTTCTTTCTTTTTTGAGAGGCAGACTCACTGTGTTGCCCAGGCTGGAGTGCAGTGGCACGGTCATAGCTCATTCACTGCAGCCTCGACGTCCTGGGCTCAGGTGATTCTCCCACCCCAGCCTCCTGAGCAGCTGAAACTAGAGGTGTGTGCCACCTTCTCTGGCTAACTTTTTATTTTTTGTAGAGATGGGGTCTGGCTATGTTGCCCAGGCTGGTCTCAAACTCTTGGGCTCAAGGGATCCTCCTGCCTTGGCCTCCAAAAGCACTGGGATTATAGGCATGAGCCACCACACCTGGCCATTTCTTTATAACAGTTTTTATTAAGAGTTAATTTGTATATTATAAATTCACCCATTTAAAGTATACAATTTGGCCAGGCATGATGGCTCACACTTGTTTTGTTTGTTTGGTTTGTTTTCGAGATGGAGCGTTGCACTTATTGCCCAGGCTGGAGTGCAATGGTGTGATCTCAGCTCACTGCAACCTCCGCCTCCCGGGTTCAAGTGATTCTCCTGCCTCAGCCTCCTGAGTAGCTGGGACTACAGGCACCCACCACCACACCCGGGATGGCTCACACTTGTAATCCTAGCACTTTGGGTGGCCAGGGTGGGAGGATGGGCAGGATTTTGAGAGCAGCCTGGGCAACAAAGCGAGACCCTGTCTCAACAAAAATTAAAACATCAGGTGTGCATGGTGGCGTGTACTTGTAGTCCAAGCTAGTCAGGAGGCTGAGGAGGGATGATGGTTTGAACCCAGGACTTCGAGGCCGTAGTGAGCTATGATTACACCACTGCACTCCAGCCTGGGCGACAGAGCGAGACCCTGTCTCTTAAAAAAATAAAAAGTAAATAAAGTGTGCAATTTGATGGCTTTTTGTATATTCACGGAGTTGTGCAATCATCATCACCATCACTTTCGTAACATTTTCACCACTCCAAAATGAAACCCCAAACCTGTAACAGTCACTCCTCATTCTCCCCGGCCCCTGGCAACCACCGGTCTACTTTCTGTCTCCATAGATCTGCCTAGTACGGACATTTTACATCAGTGAATCATATACGTGGCCTTTACGTCTGGCTTCTTGCACTTATCAATATTTTCAAGGTTCACCCACGGTGTAGCATGCGTCAGCACTTCATTCCTTTTCATGCTGAGTAATCTTGCAGTGTGTGGTTATGCCACATTTTATTTACCTCTTTGTCAGCTGATGGGCATGTGGGTTGTTTTCACTGCTGGGCTGCTGTGAACATTTGCGTCCAGGCTTCCGTGTGGACACGCGCTTCCCTTTCTCCTTGGCATAGACCAGGAGTGGAACGGCTGGGTCTCAGGGGACCCTACGTTTGCCTTTTGAGGCTGTACCGTTTTACAATCCCACGAGCATCCCAGGAGGCTTCCAGCTCCTCCAGGTCTTTGCATGTGCTCATTCTCCGTCTCTGATCACGAGAGGACTCAGCAGAGGAGGAAACCATCTGACCTGGTTTTCCAGGAGCCCACCACCATGCTGATCACATTTTGTTATCAGCACTCTCGCTTTCCTTCTGTGTCTTCAGCTTTCGCCAGGGCAGGGTCTTTCTCTGAAACACGACAAAGACTTCTTTCCCTTCTTAAGCTGCCCTCCCTGCCACCGGAAGTGACTCCCCTCGGCAAGGCCAAGGTGGCTCACGTGTCCCAGCACCCTTTCATCTCTGTCCTTCTCTCTCATTGCATGACAGCGTGGCGTGACATGAGGGCTCTCCAGCCATGGCCTTGCAGCCCTCTTGGGTAAGCACCACGTACATTTGGACCTTGAAGACTTGGTCATGAATCAGAGTTAGATTGGGTGAGATAGTCAAGGCAGGTCAGTATCAAGGATGTGAGGGAGGGCATCAGGGCCAGGCAGGCCGAGGATCTGGGTTAAATGGCTAATTTCTAAGAACTTCAAAAGTCATTAAAAAAGGTGAACTGCATAGCTAAAGGCTGTTGAAGGCCTTAAGGAATTCAATGAAGTGACACTAATTAATCAATTGATCAGTTACTTGGTTGACTGATTTATGAGTTAATTAGCTGATTGAGTAAAGCATTTACTGAGTACTTGCTATGGGCCAGGCATTCTTCCAGGTGCTGGAGATACATCGATAAGTGAAACAGGGTCCGCTTCTGTCCCTCCGGAGCTGGAGGAGATGAACAAGTAGACAGATGAGACCATTTCAGACAAAACGAAGTGACCTGATAGAGTGGGCTGGGACTCCTGTTTTTGACAGATGCAATGGCAAAGGCCTCTCTGAGGAGTGGGTTTCAGCTGAGCCCGGAAGAGAATGGGGAACCATGGAAGGATCTAAGGGAAGCGTATCCTAGACAGAGGAACAGGAATTGCAAAGGCCTGGACATAAGAAAAAGCTGGGGATGCTCAAAAACCAGAAACAACGGGGGAGAGGGTAGGAGACGGAAGCAGAGGTGGGCCGGAGCCAGGTCAGGTAGGTCCTGAACATAATGACAGCCCCCAGCTCAGTTGCACCGACACATTCCAGGCACTGTTCTAATCACTGGCACATTTTCCTGACTTGTTTAATCCTCACGGTAGCCCTTGGACAGGGGCTCTTATAATCCCTATTTTGTAGATGAGGAAACTGAGGCACAGAAAGCCCCACACCACTTGTGCCAGGACTCCAACGTGGGAAACCCCAGAGCCTGGATTGCTCTGAGCCTGTTCCCCTGGGATGCCACAGCCTCACCTTAGCCACTCTGACCTCTGTCAGGAGTTGGGCCCTCCTCCTCGGGGCACTGGACCATGTTTGGTCTCCTTAGAGGAAGGCAGTGCCAGGCAAAGCTGTCTAACCAGAACACAGCAGGTGCTCAGTTAATATTGGTTCAGGCCAAGACATGTTGCTTAAGGATGGGCCTGGGAGAAGGCTGCTTTCTTCTGGGGTTAAATAAGAGGTTTAGAAAGCCTCCCTCAGAGCACTCAAGAATGGAGCCAGCCTTACCCAGTGCTGGGGACGCCACCCTCTGGTCCCTGTGTCACCCAGGGGTCTCTTGTCCTCTCAGCAACTTCATTCAGAAAATGAGGGGACTGGCCTACGAGAGGAGCCCAAAACTCAGGGTGGGGCCAGCGGTGCAGGCACCAGGAGGCAGGCCCAGGGGGGCATGGAGGGCTTCAGGGACGCAGGCACCCATCTAAGGGCAATTGCCACTCATCGCCAGCCCACTGCTGAGTACCCTCTGTTTTCTTTTCCTCTCTCTCTCCTTTTTTCCCTTAGAGTCTTGCTGTCACCCAGGCTGGAGTGCAGTGGTGTGATCGGGACTCACTGCAGCTTTGAACTCTAGGGTTCAAGGGATCCTTCTGCCTCAGCCTCCTGAGCAGCTGGGACCACAGATGCATGCCACTATGCCCGGCTAATCTTTTACTTTTCTGTAGAAATGGGTCTCACTATGTTGCTCAGGCTAGTCTCCAACTCCTGGCCTCAAGCGATCCCTCACCTGGACCTTCCAAAGTGCTGGGATTGCAGTTGTGGGCCACCACGCACCAGCACTTGCCCGCAATCATCCTTCATTCATTGGCTCACATGCTCATCATTGGTTTCCCTCTTCATTAGGAAGCCAGGACGTGGTTTGGGTTAACTAAGCTTCCCTGTGACTCAATTATGTTATCTGTAAAATGGACCCATTGTGTGCAAAGCACTTAGGACAGCGGCCGGCACCTGGAAGGCTCCTCAGTCATTCTAGAATATTTACTGTGAGCAGGCATTCCCTGCCAGGCCACGTTTTAGAGCTGGGGACGCGTGGGGACCCGCCTCACGGGCTGGCATCCCAGTTGGAGCACAGGCTGAGAATGCAAGGAATCAAATGAACGTGAACCTGCCAGGGGGTGCTCAGTCACAGGGTGATGGTGGCGCCAACGTTATGAAGGATAGAGCCAGGCGGATCCCTGGGAGAACAGAATTGCCCTGAAGGCCCCGGGCTGGAACCTGTGGGGCTTCTTCCAGGGACAGTGAGGCTGGAGATAGACTGGGGAGATGGGGGTCCAGAAGGTACGCGGGGGCATGCAGACCGTTCTGTGGACTCTGGGGTTCCTGGGTGGACTGGCTAAGTCCTACTCACTGTGACCGACGATGATGATGGTCCAGATAGAGGAGGAGAGCGAGGAGGAGGGAAAGGGAGGGGTGAGGGTCGAGGGGAGAGCTGGGAGGGCTGGGAAGAGAGGAGAGATAGGCGGGGGAAGAGAGAGGAGGAGGGGGAAGAGAGCAGGAGGGTGAGACGCGCCAGGCCCCACAGGCGTTTTGGCACAGCGGCCACGAGGCCTCCACTCCCGCCCAAAAACGGAAGCTAGACCGCTGGGGCGGCCGCTGCGCGCCGGGGCGTGTCCTGGCGGCCATGGCCCCGCCTCCTGCCCTCCAGACCAGGCCCCGCCCCGTCCCCGCCCCGTCCCCGCCCTCGGCGCGCTCAGGCCCCGCCCCCTCCCCGTCCGCGCTCGGTCAGGCCCCGCCCTGCGCTCGCTCCCGCGGGAATCCTGGAGCCCCAGGCGGCCCGGGGGCGGTCCGGCGGCGTCGGCGATGGGGCATAAAACCGCTGGCTACCTGCCGGGCTGCTCCTGCCTGCGCTGCCGTCCCGGGCCCACCGTGCCTCTGCGGCCCGCGTGCCCGGAGTCCCCGCCTGTGTCGTCTCTGTCGCCGCGTCCGTCTCCTGCCAGGCGCGGAGCCCTGCGAGCCGCGGGTGGGCCCCAGGCGCGCTGACATGGGCTGCCAGGCCAAAGCGCGCTGGGCGGCCGCGGCGCTGGGCGTCGCGGGGCTGCTGTGCGCGGTGCTGGGCGCTGTCATGATCGTGATGGTGCCCTCGCTCATCAAACAGCAGGTCCTCAAGGTGGGTGAGGGAGCCCCCGGGGGGTCCGCGCACGGCCCAGGTCTGGTGGGCGCTGGGCGCCGAGGAAGACCCGCGCGCTGCGGTGGGTGAGCGACCGGAGCTGGATCGGCACCCGGGCGGGGACCGCAGAGGACGAGGGAGGCCAGGCTTATCTGGAGAGCCGCTGTCCGCCTCCCCACCACCTCCAACTCCACCGCCGCAGACTGAGGCTGGGGGGCAAACGGGGAACCCAGGGACTTTGCTGGAGGCGCAGGCCAGGGTTCGAGAGGCCTGGATGAGAGACCCCCCCCGGGGGCCTGACCTGTCCTAAAGGGTCTGGGCACCCATGACGGATCAGGAGTGTGAACAGGTGCCGCCAAAGGAGCCCAGGAGTGCGCGAACGCCTGCTTTCACAGCGGCCGGTAGCAGTGTCTGTTAAAATGAGAGCGCACTTTGCTTGTATCCTGTGAGCCCCAGAGGGCAGGAACCTTCTGTGAGGCCCACGTGGGTGCCCAGCTCACATAATGGGTGCTCAGCTCACATAATGGATGCCCAGCTCACATAGTGGGTGCTCAGGTGAGCATCCTCCGCTGCCCAGAATCTCCCCATAGGAACTCTCAGAGGCAGAATGAGCAACTCTTCTCCTTGCTCACTGCCTTCATGATTCAGTCTGAAACTATAAGCTGCTTTTCTCCCCAGATTCATGCAGAGGCAGGCACCAGCCCAAGGTCCTGTGAGTGCATGCAACCTGAGGTCTTTCCTCTGATCCTAACCTTACACACCATTGCCCTTTTAACCAGGGAGACAGATTAGGAGGTCAGCTGGTCTGCAGATGGACAGACTCTGCCCTGGGTGGCCTGTTTGAATGAGCCTGGAGTTAGGGAAGGGCTGGGAGATTGCAGAGTATCTATCACATTTGAACTAAAAGCCATTTAGAGCTTTGAAGCCCTGGAGCCAGCACCTGCAGTGGCCGGGAGGGGAAACTGGAGCTCACTGTTACCAAAATTCCAGCCAGATGCAGAGCTGGAGTGAAGATGTGGATATTGTCGTAATAATTGACATCTCCCCCGACCCCCCACCCCTTTAGACTGGGTTTCTTAAGAATGGCTCCTTGTCCACATTTCATGTCTCTTCCCCCATTCACAGAGTGAATGAATGAGTGAATGAATGAAGGATACATCTGCTTAGATTTGGCTGCCACTTCTTGGGACCCAGCTAGCTGGCTTTAAAGATGGAGCAACATATGGCCTCTCTCATGGTCTCTGGGTGAGCAGTTGTCTGGGGCATCTTGGCCACGCTGTGTCTATTTTTCGATTTTTCAAATCTTGTTCCATCAAGGTATGTAATCTTATTGTAAAGACGTCCTGGTGAAGGGTAACATTGTCTCTGGGCATGGCAGGAAAAGCAAGAGAATGGCCTCTTCCTCCCCAAGACAGCTCAGAGGCTTTCTCTGTTACACTGCAGGACTTTATTTTTTTGTGGCGTACTCATACTGAAACGTGTGTGTCAGTGACAGCCTTGTGGCTGCTGCAGTGACAGGACCCCACTGTGTGTATGAAGGGCCCCCGGAGGGGCTGTCACTCAGGCGGTGCCAGCATGTGACCCTGTGCAGTGAGCAGCTGGTTTCTTTCTTTGGGAGTGTGGGCGTGGTGGGATTTATGCCAGGTAAAGTGTCTTGCCAACTCAGTCACTTGGAGGGCTTATTTCAAGGTGTTTTCTTTCTCAGATGCCATCAGGTTAAGGATGTCACACAGATGTGTGCACCACCAAATGTCCCCAGTCCTCTCCCCTGCTAAAGAGGAAAACCACATTGTCCTCAATTGTCCTGGAGCTAGGAGCATCTGGCTTAAAGTTGAATGGGCATCCTTCTGTGGATATCCCAAAGGCAATTAGTTTGGGGCCCAGCAGCGTGAAGGCAGGAAGACATGCCCAGCCGAAGACCGCCTCTTCTGGGACCGCCCAGGCTGCAGCGGCGGCCAAGTGCCTTAGCATGGAAGAAGAGGGCCTTGTGTTCAGGGGACCGGGCGGGTGGGACACTCACATGAGCAGGGACTGCCCGCTGGTGTTTTCTTTGGCTACATGAGTCCGTGTGCAACTTGAATGGGAGGCCTTGTGCTTTGATTTTTTTTTTAATACACTTTTTGGTTAATTACAGGAGTTCCTACACTTGGCCCTCTGTGTCTGCAGGTTCCGAATCCGTGGATTCAGTCAATTGCAGATTGAAACTATTCAGAAAAAAAATCCCCCCCCAAATAACAATATAACTATTAAAAAAAAAAAGACGTAAAAACAATACTGTATAACAATGATTGACACAGCATTTACATAGTATTAGGTATTGTAAGTAATCGGGAGATGATTTAAAGAACATGGGAGGATATGCGTAGGTTGTATGCAAATACCACACCGTTTTATGTCAGGGGCTTGAACGCCTGCAGACTTCGGGGTCTGTGGGGGTCCTGGAACCAAATTCTCTGACACGGAGGGATGACTTTATATAAAAAACATAGGAATACTTGCTTGGGAAAAAAAAGTTCAAGTGGAGGAAAAGAGAGAAAGTTTCCCCCATTTTATTCCCCTACTCAGCTACTCTCACCATCATTGGTGTGGATCTTTCTAGATCCTTTTCTATGTATGTATACATACATCTATGTATGTATACATACATCTATGTATGTATGCAAGAGCCTGTATGTATACGTATCAATGTGTGTATTTCATATAACTTGAACTAAGTGTAAGTGAACTTGAACATGTACAATTATCTTGCAGTTTGCTTTTCAATTCGATGACACTGTCTGAAAAACTTTCCATGTCGCAGCAATGAATCCACCCTGTTTTTTTCTCCATCACTGCTGGCATTCCTTTGGATGGTTATAGACTTGTTTACCTGTTTCTCCATTGACTGATCATTTTCTCTGTCACAAATGGCAGCGACATCCTGACACATCCCGCTTCGTGTGGCGCGTGAACATTTCTATAGGGTGGATTTCTAGAAGTGGGGCCTTGGCAGCAGGTGTGTTCAGTTTGAGTTTTGATGATTATGGCCAAATTGCCCTTCAGCACGATCTGTTGATGCTTCCAGCCCCAAGCTGTGTGACTGTGCCGCTTCCTCCATCTCTGCCGTCACTGGGGATTACCGATTTATCATGACCATTTTTTGGTAGCCGAGTTCCTGTGTGTCTCTGGGCCTCCCAAGAAGGCCCTGCTGGTGGACATGGGGAGAGGCCCCTCACTGCAGCTGGGCTGTGGAAAGGGATAGTCATCTTCCAAGGCCACTATCTTCAATGAGCTGGGGTGAAGATGTGGATAATGTCATACTACTTGGCGTCTTTTCCCCTTGGCCTGCTTCTTTAGACTGAATTTCTTTTCTTTTTTTTTCTGAGATGGTGTCTTGCTCTGTTGCCAGGCTGGAGTGCGACGGCGCAATCTTCGCTCACTGCAACCTCCGCCTCCTGGGTTCAAGCGATTCTCCTGCTTCAGCCTCCCAAGTAGCTGGGATTACAGGCATGTGCCACCACACCCAGCTAATTTTTGTATTTTCAGTAGAGACAGGGTTTCACCATGTTGGCCACGATGATCTCGATCTTCTGACTTTGTGATTCACCCACTTGGGCCTCCCAAAGTGCTGGGATTACAGGCGTGAGCCACCGCGCCCGGCTGTAGGCTATTTCTTAAGAATGGCGTCTTTTCTACATTTCATGTCTATGTCCTGTTCACAGAACTTGGATGTTTGTCTCCAGGGACCTGAACTATGCCTTCATTATTCACCAGATCATTTGAGGTCAGGAGTTTGAGACCAGGCTGGCCAACATGGCTAAACTCCGTCTCTACTAAAAAAATACAAAAATTAGCTGGGTGTGGTGCTTGTAATCCCAGCTACTCAGGAGGCTGAGGCAGGACAATTGCTTGAATCCAGGAAGTGGAAGTTGCAATGAACTGAGATTGTACCACTGCACTCCAGCCTGGGTAACAGAATGTGACTCTCTCAAAAAAAAAGAAAAGAAAAGAAAGAAAGAAAGAAACAAGGAACTTAAATATATGTTTTAGCATGGGTAGGTCGTAAAAACACATTACTAGTTGAAAAAAGCTCTGGTACTATTTATGTTTTTTAAAAAAACCCACCAAACAATATTTTCTTTCAATTTTTATTTGTTTTTGTTTTTGTAGAGACAGGGTCTCATTATGTTACCCAAGCTGGTTTTGAACTCCAGGCCTTAAGTGATCCTCCTGCCTTGGTCTTTCAGAGCACTGGGTTTATAGGTGTGAGCCACCATGCCCTGCCATTATTTGCAATGGCTTAAGGTTAGAATATGTTAAAGTTTGGGAAAAGGTGTGCAAGGGTATACATCAGACTGACAAAAGTGGATGCTCTAAAGAGGGAAGGCAGAACCGTGGGGGTGTGGCCAAAGGAAACCTAATACTTTATCTGTAATGCTGCTAATTTTTTTTTAACAAAGGGAATATATCCACAAGATACGTGTTTAATTAAAAATTACATCATTCCTTGTTATGGCTCAGTAGTAGTGCAAATAAATAAATAAATAATAAAAATTACAAGGCCAAGCACAGTGGCTCACACTTGTAATCCTAGCACTTAGTGGGGGCTGCGGTGGGAGGGTCACTTGAGCCCATGAGTTCAAGGTCAACATAGTAAGACCCAATCTCTACAAAAATAATAATGAAGAAACAACTAAGCTGGGCATGGTGGCATGTACCTATAGTCCTAGCTACCTGAGAGGCTGAGGTGGGAGGATCGCTTGAGCCCAGGAGCTTGAAGCTGCAGTGAGCTGTGATTGTGCCACTGCACAACCCCTGGGCAACAGAGTGAGATCCCGTGTCAAAAAAAAAAAAAAATTACAAATGAACAAATACATAGCTTTCCCCAAAGAATGGCCGGATGCGTGAGCCACACAGACCTAGGCGGCGCATTGCAAAGGGGCCCTGTGGTGGGGGGCTTTGGGGAGTGTGACTCACTTCTCCCTTCCTCCAGTGCGGAGGATTGGACAGAGGTGTTTGGA